CCTTCAGTAACTCATGTAAGAATAACATGGTAATATGAACACAATAGAGGTGATGACTTAGTTAGCCCTGGCCTGGTAACTTTTTGACCTAAAAAGTTATCAAAACACACCAACGTGAGATCTAGTTTCGAAGATCTCTTCGCAACGAATTTCTCATGTCAAAATGATTTTTGTAACGGAGCGACTGTTTGAGTTACAAAACATTTTCAATTTTTTTTTAAATTCAGTGGAATCCCCCCTTACATTAGCATTTTGCGTCCTCTTGGGCAATGCATGAATGTGTATGTGGGGAGAAGATCGAAGAAACCATTTTATATGCCCCGGTAATTTTTGTGGAAACACTATGATAATTTATGCTCAACTAGCATGATAACTCGCGTAGCACATCCGTGATAACTTTTTACCCTCCAAAAAAGTCATTGGAACATACCAATGTTGGATCTAGTGTCCAAGATATCATCACGACAAAATCATTTATGTGAAAACAAGTTTTCGATTAGGGCGACAGTTTGAGGTAAAAAACATTTTGAAGTTCTAAAATTGGGAGAATCTAGGATAACATCAACATTTTTTTTTGTTATCTAGGGCATGCATGCATGTGCACGTGAGAAGAAAGGTTGAAAAATAATTTTTCATGTCTGATAATTTCTGTGAAAACAGGTTGGTAACTTATGTGTTAAAGGCATGATAACTTACATAGCCCAGACCTGGTAACCTTTTACATGAAAAAAAATTCGTCAGAATATATCAACATGGGATCTAGTTTCGAAGATCTCGTCGCGACGAACATTTTATATGAAAACAGTTTTTCAATTGGATCGACGGTTTGAGCTACAAAACATTTTGAAATATTGAAATAGAAAGAATATTTTGCTGACATCATCTGTTTTGTCTTGTAGTTTGCATGCATGCATGAAAACATAAATCAACACGTACATCCTTTCCTTAGCCACGAAAAAGATTAGTAATCAAGGGAAAAGAAATAATTAGATGTATAATTAGTAATTGAGAAAGAGAAATGGGCGTGCGGATCTGTTGCTAAATTCAGTACGTCCGGAAGTTAGCACAATCCTAATTGTATTGGGGTTTCTTAGGAGAGGTCGAGAGGATGGTGAAAGAACACCAACCTTTCATGCATTCAAGAAGCGTAGAATACCTCCCCATAAAAACCAAAAGAAAATGAGTGTAGGGTACAGCCGAGGAATAGCAAGGTTCCAAGGCGCAGACAACAACAGTCCGGTTCCTCATTGAACACATAATGACCCGCCACACCGATACCACACAGAATCATAATGACCAGACAACTGCTGGAAATCATGTGATCCAAGGAAACTGAAGGGACTTTGTTCATAAAGCCACATACCAAGGATCAGGAAATCCAAACGGTCTGAGTCTGACCACTGACTGTGCGGGTGTGTAGGTTCGTGGCAGCATTCTCGCCGTGGATTAGAGACCAGCAGCCCTTCGAAAACCTGAAGAACAGACCAGATGGAGAAAGTGATCTTCATAAGAAATGAACATATGCGCTGTTGAGGGAGAAATTAAAGTGACATCGTTGTAATATCTACAGATGCAGGGTAAGCTCTGTTCAAAGAAAAATGATGTATGAATGCCGAAGCAAAGAATCAGGCAGATTGACCTCTCGGACCTTGTGATCTCAGAGAATTCTCCTCACATTGGTTCCATCTCCATGACCAAAATAATAATCCAGGTCCTCAGTCCTGTGCCAACTCCAACTAATTTGCTGGAAAAAAAACGTTAACGGGAGAACTGCTGCCATGGCAGCGAAAACGGGCCGAAAAAGCCTGCCATGGCACGAAAACTAGGCGCGCGCACGTGCTTAAAAAAGGACAGACCCAGTGCATAGAAGCTCCCACACAAGGTGGGGTCTGGGGAGGGATTATAGGAACCTAGTCTTACCCCTGCAAAGTGCAATGCAGAGAGGCTGGTTCGAACCCAGGACCTCTTGGCACAAGTGGGGAGGACTTCACCACTGCACAAGCGCGCGCACGTGCTTATTAACAGAAAAGAAGATAGATTATGCTACCATACATGGCACCTCACAGTGGATCAGCCAAAACAGTTCTTCCGTGGTAATGTCTACCTGTTTGTGTTAAATCACAGCTATATTGTTCATATTAGCATGCTAATAGATGGAGCGTAATATGTTTAAATGGAAAGATTAGAGCGACAAGATACTCCCTCCAGATCACGAAAAGCTGATGTTTGATAACTACTCCCTCCGTCCGAAAATACTTGTCATCAAAATGAATAAAAAGGGATGTATCTAGAACTAATATACATCTAGATACATCCCCTTTTATTCATTTTGGTGACAAGTATTTCCGAACGGAGGGAGTATATTTTAAAACATAATCCTACCCAAAGTTTGGAAAGTTTGAGTAGCCTAAATATTTTCATGTTTAGCTCCACTCCATTTTCAAACGTTTCACTTGAGTTGAGTGGCCCTTCTTTCAAACTTACATTCAGATCCTACTCTCAGAAGTGTTTGTTGTATTAGATAACAGGAAATATTTTTTGTCCACACATCAGATGAATGGCTGACTGGCTGTGCATTTTTTCCATTTTAAACATCTATAGCTGAATAAAACATTTTAAGCGCTTGGCAGAAAAAATATATTCTAAGGGGGACAATGAGTTAGATTGATGTAGAACACTTTGCATTGTAGCTGTGGCACCACCCTGTCTACTTGTGGTCAAGTGGACAGCCAGCCATTTGTAAATTAGTGCGGGTAGCAGCAAGCGCTACTCTCAGCAATGGACAGGAGTGTCGGAATCCGGCTCAGATTCGGTGTCGGCTTCGCATATTTCGTACATGTCAAATAGAGGATAGTGACTTTGGTGTCTGATTCGGCAAAAATATGTACAAGCTGATGTATCCAGTAATCCAGTTTAAGTAACTTCTTATATCTAGGACGAAATGCCCCAAATTCTGACGGAGAAATCGTGAAAACAAACGTAGATGGCGCACTCATTTCATGGTTAGTATGGGAAGCGAACCAAAGAGATAGCCAAACGATTTCGCCTAAAACGCGGTGAAAGGTTTACGAGCTGAATTCAGTCAGACAAATAGGACTAAGGGTGTGGCCAAGAATGTCCACTCATGGCTCGTGCACTACCATTAGTAAAATAGACATGAAAGGATTATTTGCTGGTGTGGAACTGTAGACCATATGCTGAATAACAAGAGTAAGAACTGAAACATAGGCACATCATCTTAATATTAACCGTTGTCTCATGAGCAAAATATTGATAAACACCCGGCTATAGATGGTAGTTTTTTCATAGAGTATTCAAGGGTAGAGCTCAATAACAGATCTAACACCCATGACTGCTATAATTTTGTAGTTGCTGAACCCAGCTTCCATGAATATATTTTTCCACTTGAATTCCTCTCGCTCGATCCCTTCAAAACACATGATAAAGAGATCAAACAAAACCTGTGTCTCTCTTGTTACAATCTCATTTGGCCCAGATCTAACCACCATATCAACAATTATCACCTTTCCACCAGCATCTCTGGGAGGGATAGCTTCCTTGCATTTTTTCAATATCTTAACACAGTCTTCATCGCCCCAATCATGAAAAACAGACTGAGATATACAGCAGAGACGAATATGTTACCATTAGCCCCTATAATGCTGGAAATTGTAGGGTTTTGTCATACAAAATTAGTTAGCTCGCTTTAGTGGTTCAATTGGTATGTATAAGTGGCTAAATAGTAAATACACACTTTGTTTCAATGACATTACAAAATTTTGTCAAAAAACATGATATTACAAAACGTGGATGTGCTCCAAGGGAATAAGAAAAAATAAATCTAAAGAGTGTACCTTTAGGAAAAGGGCATCCGCTGGTGGAGTGTGCTTAAACATATCACCAGAAATAAACAGCACATGCTCATCAGTAGGAGCTTCTGCAACCACATGAGGGAGATCCAACACACTGCATTTCATTTGCGGGAATGCCTTCGTAATTGCCCTGGCAGCTCCACCATGACCTCCAGCGACATCAATAAGCGAGTTTATGCCAAGAAATACATCACCACACTCCCTCAAGATGATGTCCATGAGAAAGTTGCTATCAGAAACCATTGCGTTGTTGATTAGCTGGTTGTAAGTATTGTCCTGGTCAGCCATCTCCCAAACATTTAGGCCATGAGCCTTTTTGAACAGGGACGTGGAGCACTCATCTAGAAACCATGAGTGCATGCCAAGGAAAGGGGAAATGACAGTTGAATCAAGCATCAAAGACAGAATGGGAAATAAGTTAACTTTGTCGCTAACGAGGAGACGTGTGGTAGGGGTAAGCCCGTAAACAACCTCCTTGTCTGGCGAGGCTGGTTCATGGACAACAAAGATGCCTGATACGGTGAGCACACGCATGAGTCGTCGTAAGCGGGGAAGCTTAGACGGATGGAGTCCGATCTTCATGGCCAACTCCGAAGGGGTCATAGACCCACCATGGTGTTGAATGGTGTTGGGGATTTGCAGTTCCATTGCACATTTGAGTGCCATGGACTTGACAAATCCCAACGCGTGGTGCCAAAGATCAACTTGGGCCTGGAGCAACTCCTGAGAACTATGCTTGTCCTGGATGGACGCCATTTTTGCTGGCTTTTTTTTTCCTTTGGTAATGGATGGATTGGAGTCATGCTGGTTGGTCTATATATACACAAATACTGCCTGTTAAGGCACATGGTAAGGCCTTGGGTAATAAATTGTTTAAGGATGTTGACACGTTTATATGTCAACGTCGGGATTGTGTCAAGCCATTTGGGATGAACTTTGCTATGTATTGATTGATTATAGTTACGATAAACAGTATTTTTTACATGGCGGAAAAAAATAGTGTCTGTGATAGCTATTGAGCATATTTACTCAGGTACACAACTAACTCGTTCAGATATAATGTTTGCTCATTAAGATATATTCATGAGTGGCTCCACTGTGTTTTCTCCACTCAAGTTCCACTTCTTTCAGTGCAACTCAAAAATTTGTCCTACTCTCAAATTTGTTCTATTAATTAGACAACGGGGGATATTTTCGGCCACAATTAATGAATGGTTGTAAATTTTCTGTCCTTTGTAAGGATCTATACTTGAATAAAAAGATCTTGAAGCACTTGGCAGAAAACATTGTTCGATGCTCGATGGGGAACAATGTGTAAGATCAATGCAGAACTCCTTTCTGTTCTAGTTGTGGCATCACCCTGTCGTGTCTACCTGTGGTCCATATATTGGACGGCTGTAGCGTTGTTACAGTCGCAATTTGTAGACTAGTGTTGGAATCTGACACAGATTTGGGTGTCGGTTAGGCAGATTCCGTACATGCCAAATAGAGGACAGCCACTCGGGTCGGGTGTCTGATTCGGCAAAAGAAAAAAAATATGACTCAAACAGAGAAATGGTGAGAATTAAGGCACATGGTGGTGAAAAAGGTTGCTGAATTCAGAGCCCAAATTCGGACGGTAGGACTCAGGGTGAACAAGATTGATCCACTCTCATGGGCATGGCTCATGCACTTCGCCGAGATCAGACATAGAACAAGTAGAAGATGGAACTGGACAGGCGCTTACGGGCGCTCCCCTAGCCCTAGGCGCAGGAGCCGACGGGGGTACGGATATCTAATCCACACCTAATCAATGGATGCAGTACATTTTTTTCCCGTATGGCTGATGCACGCCGTCCAAATCAAATGTACACCGACCAGACAGAAAATGGAACTGAGCAAGCGCTTACTGGAGCTCCCATGGCCCTGAGCGCAGGAGCCGACGGCGACGGGGTGGCAGCGCCAGCACAGTGGGCGCGACCCTGCTTGAGCCCTGCCTCCCTCGGGTCAGCACGTTACGCCGCCGGGTGGCACGCCGCGACCTTACCTCGGTACGCCTTGTGGCGGATCCGACGGCGGGAGGTGGCCGCCACCACGCCGGCGAGTTTGTCGTGGCCGCCGTCGAACATAGATAGCAATGGTGATCAGGAGGGTCTGCTGCTGTGGTCACTTTTATTTTGAGGGGTTTTTTTAATCAGACTTTGGAGGGGGTGGTGGTGTGGCCCATGCCGGCCCAACTATATGATGCAGGCCGTACAATGGGCCGATGTTACAAACAGAGCTCCATGTTTCTGGAAATAGCACAGCTTCATCATTCCTCTAGAAAACAGAGCTCTGCTAAAAAAATGGAGTAGATGTCAAGGATAAAAAGATCTTTCTACAAATAGATAGCACATTTTTTTACAAAAATAATAACAGAGCCATTTTCATATGTAAGTCCACCTGAATAAAACATGAAATTACAATTAAGTTCATTGTATGTGTTTTTAACTTCTTCTCATTTTTGGACACTACAAATCTTTACCCTATATTTGCAGATAAAATACATAAATATATCATTAATTCATTATTATTTATGATTACTTTGAGAAAATACTAAATTTCTCGAATTAATAATTACTCCCTCTGTTTCAAAATAAAGGTGTATTGATTTTTTGAAAAGTCAAATGTATTTGTATTTGACCAACTTTATTGAGAAAATACCACGATGCTAAATATCTATCATTAGATTCATAACATTTATTATTATTATTTTGGTATTCAAGATATTGATGATTTTTCTATAAACTTGCTCAAAAATAAAAAATAAATGACTTTATGAAAAATAGTACACCTTATGTTATGTCATGGAGGGAGTGTTTATGTTTACTTTGTGGTGATGTCAACATTTTGGAGGCTCAGAGAGATATTAAATATGTGCAACATTGACATTTTTCCGACTAGACAACTTCTCACCAACTCAACCAAAAAAATTAGTACCTTTTCGGTTACTAAAGTAAGTTAATATTACTGGATTTTGTACTAACATGTTCACATAAAAAAAGTCAAAGTTATATGTTGTGGACTCTATCCATGTCTAAACCTTGAGCAAAGTGTGCTTAGTTTTCAATGCTTACGTGCTCATAACATGGGTGTCCGTATGAAATTGGTAAAAAGGGTTCATTGTTCTTGGGTATCTTGGTTCAATCGTTTCTACGAATGGTCCACCTTGTGAAACTTGGGAGAGCTGACTTGGTTGTTTGAAAGCACATTACTTTGTGCATCTTCTTATTCCGTGCTACTACAAGGGTACATGTCGCAAATAGTTTCTCCAACTTCTTATACTTTTATCCTTGGCATGGTTATATTGATTTCACATTGTGGCTTATTGTTTTTGCTTTATCGGGTGGTTAGGCTTAATGATTTTTTTTTCTTTGGTGCTATGGTTTACCCTTTTGAATCATAGCATTCATTTCGACCACAACTATATTTTTCTATATATTCCGGTCTCTCGGTTCATCACACTTACTTAGCAGGTCTTATCGTATTTTCATATTGTGTGCACTCTATCTTTGTGTTGCATGAGCTTTGGCATGATGGCAATCAATGCAAGGTTGAAAGATTCAGACCTTGTTGTCATCATCTTTATCTGACACATACATAAAGGATGTATAATCGATGGTTTTCTTGATGAAGATGAACCCTATTGTCATGTGATCAAAAGACGTGTTGGTGAGCTCTTCATTTGGTTGAACCATTTTATGTGATAAATATGTGCTTCTATGACTAGGTGTTCTCACAATTTAATCTACAACTTTCTTCTCCATAGTCACTATTTTACAAATTATTGCAGTTCATAATGGGTCCAAACTAGCATTTTGCCGACCAAAACACCATAAAAAAAGCATGGTCATGCCTATATCTAAAACATCATTAGTTTACAAAATAAAAAGTGAACTCTTTTTAAGTGGAATTTCATTCAGTAAATGGTAGAGCGGAACTCATGGTGTGGTATTCCTTCATCGTCAAATCAAGTTGATGTGCTTCGATGCGAATGGTGCCGGATGGATCGATCGTATGTGCTACTCACTCTGTAGTCATCTAAACGCTCTTATATTTCTTTACAGAAGGGTGAAGAAAAAACATTTTTAATTGTATACATGTTTTGTACTACCATGATGGTGTAGTGCGGAAGGAAAGAGAGGGAGGGAGGAAGGAAGAACCTCAAAGGACCAAACATTTTCCAAAACTAACATGTGGTAAAAAAAAAATAAAGAAGGAAAACAATCGCCAACTCCAAAGGCGAATCGACCCCCCACTCCCAATCGCCGCAACCGCACCACCAGCGCCGCCCTGATCGGCACCGATGGCGGGCGATCCGACCGGCGGCGGCGGCGGCTCCGCGACGGGGAAGGGTCCCCGCTCGTCGACGCGGCACCAGCAGTTCCGCGACCGCGCTAAGACCCGCGTGGACGACCTCCAGGAGATCTTCTCCGGCCTCCAGTCCGCCCGCAAGGAGAGCCGCTCCGCCGACGCCGCCGTCCTCGAGGAGCAGGTCCACCAGATGCTCCGCGAGTGGCGGGCCGAGCTCAGCGTCGCCTCCCCCGCCTCCTCCCTCCAGGTACCTCTCCAAACCCTAGCCTTTCCTCCCCTTGCGTGTTCAGGGTTTGCTGTCTCTGACTTTTGGTCTCGTGCCGCGTTGCAGAACTCGCTGGGGAACAACCAGGGCGCCGCGGATCCGCCGTCGGAGACGCTGCGGCTGCTGCAGCTGGCGATTGAGGAGGAGGACGACGCCACCAGCAAGCTGGCGCAGCCGATGCAGCCCTCCCGGCAGGACGATCATCAGAGTCTCAACCCCGGACTGCAAGTACACGGAGGGACTGTGGATGGCGGTGCCAATGCGTCACAGCAGTCACTGGGTCATGGAATGCAGGGAGATTGTGGGGGAGAAGTAGCTGATGTTGCTAATGCATTGTTCAGTGATCAGGTACCTCACCGTGATTGATGTCTCCCTTTTTGAATGGTTTAGTGGAATGGTATTTTTTGTATGCCACCATCAGTCATGTGGATGAAATTGTGTGTTAGACTACTATGACTTCCTTACTGACTAAATGTGTAAAACTGTAAATTGTTAGTGGGGGTCAATCCTTGCCTAGTTGCCAGTTAGCTCCGTTGTGGACTGAAGCATTCTGATGTGCCGCGTGATCCTTCATAGCGTGCAAAAATTATTGTAATGTAACCCACAATAACAGTTAAGGTTTGGTGAGGAGTTTTGTGCTAGCAGATACACTTCTTTGTTCATAAAAGTTCGGGTACTTTGGACAAAGCAGGAGATTTGGTGTTTTTATTAAATTATGGTTACTTATTTAAGAACTATATTGATTTTACTTCTATATGTATGTGTGCTTGGAGTACATGCGATAAACCTGTTCATTTTTTAACTGAACCACTATGTTTCGATAGCAGTCTCCCTCTTTGTTGACTTGAACTACTTATGATCCTGTTATTGGTGTTGTCGGCTACTTCTTTTTTGTTAGAAAAGGCCAAGTGCTTGTATGCATTGTCCGTAGTTGATCTTAATAAATAATCAAAACTATAAAATAACCTCATAGTCCCACATCTTCATATGAGATAACAACAAAAAGACTGGGGCGCTTCAGTATGCCATCGCAGCATAGAGAAATGTGTTGTTCTATTATGAGTAACGTGTTACAGCATTATTTTTCTAACCATCTGAGAAGCACAGGCCACAATAGTACAGTTTATTCATTGGCTAACGCAATTATAAACAGGAACCAATAATGACCTTCCTAAGTTTAGATGGTGATGCCTTGCTTGATGATTGTGTATCTCCGTTGAAATAAGATCCGTAGTTGTGCAAAGGTTTTGGAGTTTCTGGTCCAAACTGGTCCTGTTAAATTTTAATTTCTGAATTTTCCTCCTTTATTTGATTTCTCATATGTACCTTTTGATATGGTAATGAACCCATGCACGTTTGATGATGCTTTTGTGATCCTGCTTTTCGTTATTCTTTGTGCCTGCAAAATTGTTGAATCAATCAAAGTGCTTGTCAATATGTGCAAGTATGCGTTGTTACTTGTCAGTACACCAACTCTTGGTATGTCTGGTGATTGTACCTTACCTTTTCATTTTTTTTCTACTCATAGCTTTAATGAGATTTTGTTGTACCTTTGATTGCAGATGTACTATATAGACCATGAACTTAGTATTGATGATTTTCTTCACGGGTCAAACCCAGATGGCCTCAATAACCAGCCGGAACATCAGCAGTTCAATTTGCCACTAGATCTGCAACATTCTAATAGTTCATATGCTGATGCAAATAACTCTGTGCAAAGTACTGGAGATGTTTTTTTCCACATGTCAGACTTGCTCACAACAGTCAGCCCATCACCTTCTCAATATTTGGGGCCAAAATGTGCGCTCTGGGATTGTGGTCGACCTGTGCGAGGATCAGAAGAGTGTCAAGACTACTGCAACCCATATCATGCTGGCTTAGCTTTGAATGATGATGGTCTTCTGGGGACAATGGGAACAAGACCTGTGATGCGGCCAAGGGGTATTGATTTGAAAGATGGGCCCCTGTTTGATGCTCTTTGTGCAAAAGTCCAAGGAAAAAATGTTGGTATTCCTGTCTGTGTAGGGGCTGCAACATCAAAATCACCTTGGAATGCACATGGTATGCTTGGTTATTAAGTGTTAGCATTTTATGGTGAACATTGATATTAGCAAATTCTTGTGCTAATTGTTGGTTGCCTGTTGTTTTTGCAGAACTTTTTGATCTTTCTCTTCTTGAGGGTGAATCTCTTAGGGAATGGTTATTCTTTGACAGACCAAGGAGGGCATTTGAGAGCGGCAACCGCAAGCAAAGGTCGTTGCCAGATTACAACGGCCGTGGATGGCATGAATCAAGGAAGCAAGTGATGAAGGACTTTGGGGGCCTGAAGAAATCCTATTACATGGACCCACAACCATCCAGCAACTATGAGTGGCACCTTTTTGAATATGAGATAAATGATTCTAACACTCTAGCCTTGTACCGGCTTGAGTTCAAGGCTTCTGATCCTAAAAGGAGTGTTAAATCAAAACTGGGCAGCAGTTCACTCAACGAAATCCAGCAGCAAATGGTCAAGCTTAGTGCAAACAGTCCGGTGGACAACAAGCGGGGCGCTAGGAGCAAGACAAAGGCTACTCAAAAGGACACCAATGCGAATACATATCCAGCTCTCAAGACCACCAATCAAGCGGGTGCTTCAAATGCTTATGAAGCAGTGCCCCTCAACATCATCCCCAATCAGGCCAGTGCCTCCAATGCTTACCAAGCAGTGGCTCCCAGCATCCCCAATCAGGACAGTACCTCGAACGCCTATGAAGATGCATCACAAGTGGACCCGATGTCATATCTGAATGAAAACGTCGTCTATGGACCTCATCTCCCATATGGTTACCCTGACGGAAAAGGCGATTTCTACTGGAACCCCAGTGGCGGCACCTGAAGATGCGACATGCCAAGCTCGTGCGCTGCAAGGCGTCTCAAGACAGATTGTAACAGTGTCAACTAAAATTTGGGGCTCGACACCGTGGCCCTGCAGTTTTTTGTAAGTGTAGACATCTTGGATAGATACCATGTTTTTTTTCGAAACGGAGGCAAAAGATTTGCCTCATCGATTAATTAAGAAGAAGAGAGTTGTCCGGTTAATTAATGGAAAACCGGGCGAAAACCAATACAAACAAATCACATGCGGACTACTCCCAAAGTCTAAACCCCCAAGATCGCACTGTCGACCCTACAAACATTTCCAACAAGCAACATACCCAAGCCCACACGCATCTACATCGCAAAGGAATCCCCAAAAAGAACACCTCGGATGTAGAGAAATGACCCCCCAAAAACCACGATGATAAGCTAAACCATGAGGACGGCCCATAAGACCAAGGAGCAGCCATTAAGCAGCCGCAGACGCCTTCCCTAAGGCATCACTCTTCTTGTTTTTGCTTTTGAGAGACTTCTCCACCTTTTTGGTCTTGTCTTTGTTAAACTTTTCGGTCAGGATGCATGCAACCACTTTACCAGACCCAGGGCTAGCCGCCTCCAAGCTAGAGAGCAAGCTGCAAAGCTCTTTTGCAAAGAGAGCATCGGAACAAGGTGCCAACGTATTTGTCCCAACAACATCTCCACCTGGGGGCACCACGTGCCCAACGGTCACAGGCAAGCGCGTGACCGAGGCATCCAAACCTGCACACACCATAAAGTCTATCTGGCTAGACTCCAAGGGCGGTGGTGAGGGTGTCATGGGCACCGCCAACGCCCCTAGCAAGCCCATCTCCTTCGGAATCGCCACCGAAAGAGGTGGAGTGGACTCCTCACATAGCACTGTCAACTCAGGCATAATCTGTAGAATTGGAGCCACATCCTCAACAATCACTTCACCCCCAACGTCAGTCGACACCATAGAGCAGGGTCTAGCACGAGGAGAGAACCCTCCATAGAGGTCGACTTCCTCTCCATCTGCAGAGCCAACCTGAAGCTCGGGAAGTAGAGACCCAATCGACACAACCTGAAGTTTACCAAGAGCAACCTCCGCCCTTGCCAAGACACTCTCAACACGCACAAGGCATTCGCGAAGCTCAACGCAAAGTAGCTCAGCCTGCTGCTCAAGGACAGGTTGTAATGGCACATCAGCTTGGATGACGGATGCAGGCGGTGGAGCAACACATGGTTGCGGCATAGCCTCGTCGACGAGTTGCTTCGCACGACAAAAGCGAGCAATGTGGCCGAAACGGAGGCAATTCCTGCAACGGATTGGATCTCTGCAAGAGTGTGCTCGATGACCCCGACACAAACACCGGAAACATCTATCTTTCAGCCATGTCGGAGGAGGCAGCCGTGCATTGAAGGTAGGGCGATGAAAAGCCGGAGGAGACGCCGAACGACGCCCCTTCGAGACGAGCTGCCAGCCCCCCAGCTCATCCCCGGGCGGAGCGGCCGCACAACACTCAACGGTAGGTGCGTCATCCCGACGAAAGCATCCACGCCAATCCCCCCAACCAGGGCGCACAGGCGGGACGAATCGGTCGCCTCCAGCAATGATCTGCGACGCAAGAGCAGTGGGCGCAACGTCCGAGGATGTTGTTGCCTTCCGCCCCCCAATGGTCGGGTCTGACCTGCGGGAAGCAAGGGCAGTCGCAGCCAGCGCAGCAGCGGTGGGTGGCGGTGCCGAAGAATCTGCAGTCGCAAGCTCGGGGGAGAGCGAGTGTGGCGGCGACGGACGCGGGGTTTGTGGCGCAGATTGTTGGAGCAGGGCCGGTGCCGTCGCCGGGACGACGTTGCCAACGGCAATCGCGTGGACGCACGGAAGAGACTGTGGCGTGGACTCCAGTTCCAGAATGGATGCTTCACTTGATGGAATGCTGCTGGAGAAGCCGAATGGGGTCGAACCACCGGGGACGACGGCGGGCGGCGGCCGCAGCTTCACCACGAGCTTGGAGGTGGCTGGAGGGGCGGCGTCCGACGGGGCCGCAGGGGCCGTTGCCGGCGCGGGGGAGCCGCCTGGTCGCGGGCATCGGCTTGGCCAAGGAAGCATCCTCTGCCCATTGGTATCCGCGCCCAGCGCGGCCGGAGCAGCAGCCGGCGCCGATGACGACGGGGGTGCCGAGCATGGTGGAGCGCAGGAGGCCGAGAGGGAGGCGGACGGGGCTGGGGAGGCCGCGGCTGCCGCCGCCGACGGTGGCGCAGAAGCCGGCTTCGGGCGTGGAGGAGGAGCCATAGCGGAGGGAGCCACCGCGGGAGAAGAGCAGCCGCCGAGAGAGGACGTCGAGGGGATCCCGGATCTGGTCGCAGCTGCTGAAGGGGAGGTCGGAGAAGGGAGATCGGGGCAGCGCCGCCGCGCGCTCACCCGTCTTCCGCGAGGTCGCCCGCCATTTGCTCTCGCTTGCTCATAGATACCATGTTTGATGTGCTGTACTTTGACTGTAAAATATAGTCTGGTCCTTGCCTGTCGAGCCAAGATAGAGCATCTTAGGGTATCTGCTTCTTCAGAAGCTGATGCGGTTGGACCCTAGCATCGGAGGATTCGCAAATTCAGTCGGCTCTGTTCTTCTTTCCTTTTTTTCCTTAGATGTATATATATCCTGAGAATGGTTGAGGATTCGTATGATTCGCGGACTCCCAGATTCACTTGGGTTTCATATGCAAGATTGGTGACAGCTCCAAGCATTTCCAGGCCTGCTCAATGTAGCCTCTTCTGAAGGTTATAACTAGCAGCTGGCTCAATGTAGCATGTTCTGGTCACTGGAATTTCTTTTCTTTTTCCCTTCTGGTGATGTCTCACACTGGGTATTGTTAGCCTATAGTCAATCTTCTTAAAAATAAAATATGTTGCTAACTTTTTTAAAACAAAAAACTGTTGTTGCTAATCGCATGCTACATGTTGGCAAGGAACAGCAATGCAGACAAAGAAAATCGAGTAAAATTAGGTGTAATACACCGACTTTAATCTTCTCAACGCAAGACATAATGGAGTCAATGTGATAGACGAGACAATTAGGTAAATCTGAACCAAACTAGTAGGTTCCTCGCCTACTAACCACCACGATAACATGGCGAGTATAACAAACCCTAAATTCCGACAAACAGAAAGAAGCAAACTAGTAGCGTAGACAAATCCAGCAAAGATAAGACTTTCAGACTCGTTATGTTTTTCTCCTCCACCTCACAAAAATTGTACCCAGGAGCTCTCTGCCCTCCCACATTTCGCCTCTCTTGTTTCGCAAGCTGCGGTTTTTCACTCAGATGGGTGTGTGCTTCAGAGCGGGCAGGGTGGGACTTCGAGCGTCGCGCCGGCTTGGATCTGGCCCCATCCAATGAGGCGCCAGTGCTTCTCGACACGGCGGCTCAGGGCCACCTTCTCGCCTTTGCTGGTGCACACGGGCGCGGTGAGCTGGAGCTTGGCGAGATCGTTCTTCACGGCGACCACACGGGCGCCAGTGGACATGGATCCGATGTTAAGCATCAGGATCTCGCCCTTGGTGAGCTTGGAGACCTTCCCTGCCTTCTCTGTGCCCTTCGTTCTCACACCCAGCAGCCTTCGGAGAAGGAAGAAGTTGATCTGCAAAGCAATAAATGCCCAAGGATGTCATTAACAGCTACCACTGTTTGGCTGAAATCAAAAAACAACAAAGAATTGACAAACCGACAAACCTCAAGCTCCACGAATACATCAGGAAGCGACCCGATTTCTCCTAGAACCTGGCCAACCAGCCTATCGGCACGAGTCAAAGTTGGATCCATGGTTGTTCCCACACCAATAAGCCCTCCTGGCACAGCAAATTGGAGTTCATTCTGCTCTGCGTAGAGCGAGACGATCCTTGAATAGATTGGGGTGCATTTGATGTTGCCACTCTCATCCTTCATGACAATGCCAGGGCGAACTTCAATGTTCTGGTTAACCCTGAGGACTCCCTGCAAATAAGAATCGACATCCAGTTTATATTTGTGACATGAAAAGCCAGAACACTCATGATCTAATTCTGTATCAGGATTGAGATCTGCATACATACCCTGAGGATGCTGCCACCTGCTACCCCACCCCTGATTTCATCAACCTCTGAACCAGGCTTGTTGACATCAAAGGAGCGAATAACAATCATGTTGGGAGGTGAAGTGAAGTTCCTTTCCGGAATGGGGATTTTCTTAATAATATATTCACAGATCACATCAATGTTGTACTTCAGCTGGGCAGATATTGGCACCACAGGAGCACCTTCAGCTATCGTGCCCTGCACAGATGGTAGTAAAAGAGATCAAGCCATGAAAGAGAAGACGTGTATTTATATAACACAAGCAATGACGAACAGTAGTGACCTGGATAAATTTTTGGATTGCTTCATGCTGGTTCATTGCTGCACTTTCCTGGATAAGATCAATCTTATTCTGTAAAATTATGAGATGTTGGAGACGCATGATCTCAACAGCTGCAAGATGCTCAGATGTCTGGGGTTGTGGGCAGCTTTCATTTGCTGCTATCAAAAGCAAGGCTCCATCCATGATAGCTGCTCCATTAAGCATTGTAGCCATGAGAATGTCGTGGCCCTGTTCAACAAGGTAGATATTGTAAGTACATACAACATTTACGTAATATCATATTCAAGTTCAACTAATGAAAAGAATATCTAATGACCCATCAGAGAACTCTGATGACTTCCCAATTCATACAATAATTCAGTTGAATAAAATTGGAGATACAATTATTATTATGTAAACAGTGATTATCATCTTGGTGATGCAAGAGAAACCTCAGGATCATAATTGACAGCAAATCAAACTGTAGGGTGCAAAATGTTACTAATCACTTGGGTAGGGCAAGAAATGGTCAGGCTATGTACTTGAGCATTTGTGTACTAGATCTGTAGAAGGGAGCATCATAACAGCAAAAGGGTAGAGCTTCGTTATACCGGGCAATCAACAAAGGAAACATGTCTCAGGAGCTTCATCCTA